CCACAGTGCAATACTACTTATTACTATACAATCCACTCTACAATACTATTTATTACTATACAACCCGCTCTGCAATACTACTTATTACTATACAATCCACTCTACAATACTATTTATTTCTGAAACACTACGACATATTTTTTGGGAGTATCCATCCATCCAATCATCCATCCATCTAAGTATCACGAGGGCTGGCTGTACCTGGAAGGTTCCGGCTTTGAGAAGCATCACCTGGTCATGCTGGCTGAGACTCTGGAAGCCGGGGATCCCTTTGGCAAACTCCACCACCTCCCGCACGGCGGGGGTGAAGCTCTGTGAGAAGGCGTCCCACAGCTGCTGGCTGGAGCAGCCCACGGGGGGCACGGGGCAAGTGTTCAGGGGACATGCCTGTCGGAGAGGCGGGACGAAGGTGGCAGAGAGACTCCGTCAGTAAGAGCCATGACAGGAGACAGTGTGAAGCTGAGAGCGACGGGGGAGAAACGCGACGTATATCCTCACCAGCACTTTGGCCCCTGCAGCCAAACTCCAGGAATGCTGACTGTGGGAGGCGACTGAGGCTCTGCTGAATGTGGACGGGGGCAGTTTAGGGAAGGGGTCTGCACTGGACAGGGAATGGGGCTGCTTGATTAGGGAGGGGTAACCATACTTTTTGTTATCAATAAAAGGTAGGGACATGCTGTCCTGGGGGGTTGCAAGGTGCCAGGCATTAGCTGGGTACTGCTCACGCTGAAAGGGGGGGGATCCCTGCAGTAGGAGGCCATGGGTGGCAGGTTGTGCGCAGCTGGGGCTCTGAAGGAAGCGAGGCTGAGCCAGTCTATCCTGGTTGTTCACAAAGATGTCTCGATAAGCACGGGAAATGGCCCCTATGGCCTCCTCTGATTGGCTGTCTCCTGGGCTGGGTGGGGCTTCTCGTGAGGGGGAGGAGCCGATGTCCATAGAGGGTGATGATTGGTTGAAGCTGTTCATGTAGCTCTGCATTTCATCCAACAACCGCTGCTTCTCACGCTTTGGGATGCGGCCAAAGCGCACAGCTGGGATAAAAAAAAAAATACAAACATAAAAGAGCTGGACACCAGCGCTAATGAGAGTAACAATACA